GCAAGGATATGTGGTCACCACTACCGCTTCTTCTTGGGCCTGTGGATTACTTCTTTAATTGCTCATAGAACTCTTTCTAGGTGAGTGTGGGCTGGGTCACAACCTCATCCTCACTTGATCCAGGCTGTGGGGAAAAGAGGGATCAGACTGTTACTGTGTCTATGTAGAAAGTAGACATAAAAGACTCCATTTTGTTCTGTATTTGAGATGCTGTTAATCTGTGACCCTACCCCCAACCCTGTCCTTGCAAGAGACATGTGCTGTGATGACTCAAGGTTTAACGGATTTTGGGCTGTGCAGGATGTGCTTTGTTAAACAAGTGCCTGAAGGCAGCTTGCTGGTTAAAAGTCATCACCATTCTCTTAATCTCAAGTACCCAGGGACACCTACACTGCGGAAGGTCGCAGGGACCTCTGCCTAGGAAAGCTAGGTATTGTCCAAGGTTTCTCCCCATGCGATAGTCTGAAATATGGCCTCGTGGGAAGGGAAAGACCTGATCGTCCCCCAGCCTGACACCCGTGAAGGGTCTGTGCTGAGGAGGATTAGTACAAGAGGAAAGAAGGCCTCTTGGCGGTTGAGATAGAGAAAAGCATCTGTCTCCTGCCCGTCCCTGGGCAATGGAACATCTTGGTGTAAAACCCAATGGTATGTTCTGTTTACTGAGAAAGGAGAAAACCGCCTTAGGGCTGAAGGTGGGCCGTGCTAGCGGCAATACTGCTCTTTATGCGCTAAAAAGGTTTATGGAGATGTTTGCATATGCACATCAAGGCACAGCGCTTTTCTTTAAACTTATTCATGTCACAGAGATCTTTATTCGTAGACCTTCTCCCTACATGATCCTATTTACCTACCACTTCCCTTTTTCTAAGACAGTAAAGATAATGATCTATAAATACTGAGGGAACTCAGAGACCAGTGCCAGCGCGGGTCCTCTGTATGCTGAGCGCCGGTCCCCTGGGCCCACTTTTTCTTTCTCTATACTTTGTCTCTGTGTCTTATTTCTTTTCTAAGTCTCTCGTCCCACCTGACGAGAAATACCCACAGGTGTGGAGGGGCAGGCCACCCCCTCACCAGGCCACTTGATCTGTCACTGCCACTTGATCCAGGCGGGGATACAGATGGAACCCTTTTGCTGTTCTGGCCACTGTAGCGGACACTCAGGAGACCTAGATTCGGTTCATGGCCTGGCAGTAACCATGTGACTTTGAGCACATGGATTTCCCTTCTGGACTCCATTTTCCTCGTTGCTAAAGTGGAGATTAAAATGAGATGCTGTGGTGATTGCGAAGATGTGCATTGTCTTTGACACCGGGAAAATGTGCGTGAGGCCATGTCAGACATGGTCTAGGGCCTCGGTCTAGGGCCTCTGTCCAGCTTACCAGATCACACAGGGGAAATGGCATTCAAATAGCTGTTGAAGAATATGCAGGCCTGGATAGGATATAGTGAAACTGTCACTCTCGTATGTCGATAAAGGTTTAAAATCAGCATAGTTATAGCTACTAATTCAGTGATACATCCTTAGAGCTTCATAAATAAATGTTTATGTACTTAATCTGTAATTCCTGTATTCCAAACCTAGAAAAAATCATTATACATGAAGAATATTAGTTATAATGATACTTATAAAAACTTACAAGCAATCAATGTCAAAATGCGTGAATGTTAGGTTGAACGATATGAAGCCACTTGTAATGACAGATTCATACACTTCTCTCAGGTTGAATCTGGTTACTCAGAGTGAATAGTATTCCCTTATTACACTCGTTAAAAGTTACAGACTCCTAAGAAACATGACAACTTAAGAATTGTTAGGTGATTCGGTGGGGTGTTAACGTTGTGTTTATAGTATGATCACCGCGGTGTGAAAAAGCAAAGTGCACAATTGAATCTCTTCTTGGAATAAAGACTGGAAGAAAATAGGCCAAAAAGGACGAAAAATTGAGCCACGGGTTATCTTCAGATGCTATTCACAGGGTATATGTTCCAAGACCACCCAGTGGATGCCGGAAACCTTGGCAAGTACTGAACCCTAAGCTTAATACGCTTTTTCCTATACTTACATATAGGTAAAGTTTAAGTTATAAATTAGGCACAACAAAAGGTTAACAACATAACTAATAAAAAAAGAACAATGATTATTAGTTATGAAAGTTATATGAATGTGGTCTCTGTCTCTCAGAACCCCGTACTGTGCTATACTCACCCTTCTTCTAGTTTTTTTTTTT